TATCAAAATGATAGATACAGTTTTATTAAATTCTATAAAGTACTTTGAGATTCTATCAAAGTAATGTTTGACCCTAGCATGCGTCACTGTGAACTCTTTTTCATTTCAAGTTCCGGGCCGACCTTTAACCAGACAGAGCCGGCTGTGTAGTACAATTACAGACTATGTAAGGTATACCGTGACAGTACGTCAACTGCAGTACCCATGGTCAAATAAATGATTCTCAATCTCTTCTAGTGAAAATTAAGTGGCGCAGTTCTCTTAGTCTCTTCCTATTGGTTGGAATTTTTTTTTAACCAATCATAAGCGAACAGAGTAAAAAAATAGTACATAATTTAAGGATGAACCAAGAAAGCTGCGCATAAACATGCAAAATGACAGGATTTTTCTTACAGTTAAGTAATGGAAAGAAAAGAAAGGAGAGAATGGAAAGAAATAAAAGAAAAGATGAGAATATAGAGAGGGATAAGAAAAGGGAAGATAAAACAGATATATGAGCAAAAAACACAAGAAATGTACAGCTAGAAAAGTACAGAAAATTTAAAAGAAAAACTACATGAGAGAAATGTAAAAAAAGAAGAAAGTAAATAATGAGACAAGATAAAGAAGTCTAAAAGAAAGTTAGTACGAAAGGTATCAGTATTTGAACAGGACTGGAAATTAATCTCAAGAATTGGTTTATCTCTACTTCTAGTCAGGGTATTATTTTTACTCGTAATTTAAGTTCTGTATAAGACATGAAGTTTTGAATATTTAGGATTATTGAACAAGAAAACATGTATATTTTATGAAGTCTATGGGAAAAATCGCTGCAAAAATATCTGATTAAGAAGATTTGGCGCTTGCGCAAAATGAACTTGAAAGCCGCGCTATAATTTTCTTATCCCATAATAATGGGTCGTCTTTTACAGTATTTTTAACTAATTAGATAGTTAATTTAAAAGTATTAATATCTCTAATTTTTATTCACCATTCAAAGATATCCCTGAGGCCCAGAATGATAGATATTTATGCCTGGATAAAAATTCCATCTTTGCTTATTTTTCATTAGTATAATGGTGTTTAAAATAAAGTTGCAGTGTATGGTCACTGGGTTTAAGCTAATCTTGCACTACTTGAAATATAAAATTTTGTACCGTCCGTTTTGCCTTGTGTAGTCTCTATGTGTACTGTACAGCTTTCTCCAGCTGCTGATACAGTCTGCCCAGTACTTGAAATAAAACGAAGTTTTTAGTGTGACTAGTGCCAGAGACATCTTTAAAGACTGAGAATCTCACAAGAAGGAAATGGTTCATTTTTTGTACTGCCCCGGTTAGTCATCTTTATAGTAAACATGTATGTAAATCTCACTAGAAGGAAATGGTTCATTTATGTACTGCCCCGGTTAGTCATCTTTATAGTTTGCATGTATATACTTATCCTGGCTGCCTAGAAGTTGTTAAGCTATTTCAAATGAACCGGAGTTTACAGTGAAATATCAACCATGGTAATTCTTATTCGATTAAACTCAGTATAATCTTAAATAGTTAAACAATCTATTTAAAGGAAGTGTTTACGAAAAATTATAGGGGTATCGGCTGATATCGAAATGAAATCGACAACGATCGCTACTAATAATTCCTTTATCTGTTGCATATATTAGAAAATAAGGGTTAAACACGACTCATACCGAAGAACGTAAGAACCCATACAAGTTCACAGAGTTCCATCATTCCACTCAGATCGTAAATAATTCTCAAGTATATCTAAAATTAATCATTCAGATATTACAACCTATAAATGTCGAGATCAATTTGATGCATTTGTATGTCTCTTCTCTCAATATTGCAGGGATTCCTCTCCTTTTTCCCCTTATATGTTGAACAACTAAAAGTAAAATTAGCAGCGATCAAAATCAAATTTAATTCGATATCAGCCTATACCCCCCTTCATTTTTCGCAAACACTCCCTTTAAGTTTCAGGTTCAGGTCGGAGGTTTAATCTGCACTTTATAAAAGGTTCAGATATAAAGTTGGTCCGATGTTGATTGCTTGTGTTAAATTTTTCATTGAGTCCTAAACTAAGTTCTGATCTGAAGGAAACAGAAGCAAGATAAATTGATAAATGTTTTCTATTTTATAAATAACTAGCTTGGACACCCTGCGTTGCCCAGGTTATTCATAGTTACTCCTGCCGTTATTCGCGTATGATCTTAAATTACGATTTTATCTATTTTTCCATCTAAAAGTCCACCCACTCAACTTAGTCTTAAAATCAAGCTAAGGACATTTCCGTGGTTCTCTCGAGTGCCCCAATAAAAATGTGTGGCAAATCGGTCCAGAGGTTCCTGAGTTATGATCGGACAAACATGTAGTCGGTACGGTACAATTTCATCTGTTACTAGAGACCGTGACAGTTCAAGTAGTAGGTACGGTACAATTTCATCTATTACTAGAGGTCGTGACAGTACAAGTAGTAGGTACGGTACAATTTCACCTGTTACCAGAAGTCGTGACAATACAAGTAGTAGGTACGGTACAATTTCATCTGTTACTAGAAGTCGTGACAATACAAGTAGTAGGTACGGTACAATTTCATCTGTTACTAGAAGTCGTGACAATACAAGTAGTAGGTACGGTACAATTTCATCTGTTACTAGAAGTCGTGACAATGCAAGTAGTAGGTACGGTACAATTTCATATGTTACTAGAGTTCGTACGTCAGTACAAGCAGTTGGGGTACGCTATACATTTTTATATAAATATAAATATTTTCATATTCAAGTTTAAATTTTTATTTGTCAAAGAAATAAACTAAATAAATTTTTAGCCAAATAAATTTGCTATGTAAAACTTGTACGGCAAATCAAGTAACTAGAGGATAAACGAGGTCAAATATCATGCCAGTAATGTCGCATTGAGCTTAAAAAATATTAAATATAAAGATTACCTCCTATACAATTGCTAATCTAAATATACCAAAGATACACAAATATGAATAGTTTGTTATTCAATTTCTAATATTTGATACAAATTATCTTTGGAAACGTCTAACTTTTCCATATAATCTGATCTCCTGCAGTTAAACCCGTTCCAGAACTGGTTTCTATTCCAAACAAACAATAATCCGAAGGAAACATTTATTTAAAAATCCTATAAAAATGTTACACAAATCATTTTCATTTTTATGTCAAAATAAAAAGTAAAAATGATAATAAAAAGTAAATGGTGAACCGGCTTGGATCATGTGATTTTTTGAGTGGAGTGGATTGTCTAAAAAATCGGTTGGTATCAGAGCCTCATTTCTTAACCGATTTTCACTTTCTATATGGCTTACCACTGAGAATATATAGTATATATAGAGTATATAAATATTAATAAATATTTACTAGACAAGACTAGACTAGACTAGACTAGACTAGACTAGACTAGACTAGACTAGACTAGGCTAGACTAGACTAGAGTAGACTAGACTAGACTAAACTATAGACTAGACTAGAGTAGACTAGACTAGACTATACTAGACTCCACAAGACTAGACTATAGTAGACACTAGACTAGACTAGACTAGACTAGACTAGACTAGACTAGACTAGACTAGACTAGACTAGACTAGACTAGACTAGACTACACTAGACTAGACAAGACTAGACTAGACTAGACTAGACTTGACTACACAAGACTAGACTATAGTAGACTAGACTATAGTAGACTAGACTAAACTAGACTAGACTAGAGTAGACTAGACTAGACTATACCAGACTAGAGTAGACTAGACTAAACTAGACTAGACTAGAGTAGACTAGACTAGACTATACCAGACTAGAGTAGACTAGACTGGACTAGAAATTATAAAACAATATTTATTTAAACATTTTATCCAATTTCTCCAAGTGCTACTCTGATTACTATCCTGTAATTCTCCACTCCTGTACTACAGTACTAGCTGCATCAATCAAGACCAATCAGGATGATTTTTTATCCAATAAAACTCCTGCACGATTAAACCCAGATAAAAACATATATTATAAGAATAAAGAAGATTTTTTGTGTGGGGTTGCCAGTGGCCATTTCCTTTTTTTAATGAAATATTTTTCTTACAACTTGGAAGAAAAATTAATCCATATTTTGAGCAAAAAAATTCAGTATATCATTTCTTTTTATGTAAAAAAATAATACATTTTCAATTTTTCATAAAAGATATCGTTCTCGCATATTAAAGTCCAACCATATAGTTTACGTTTAAAATTGCCATTTTCTGCGTTTTTAAACCTGCAAAAAAATTTTTGGTAGATTAAAGCTTGAAGAAAAAATTACTTAACAAAACCTTATTTTGCTTCAACCTATTATAAATTTAAAATGGGTGATTACATGTTTTTGTCTGAAAATATTATGGATATTTTAAATTTTATTGGCCCGCACCATGTTTCCAAATTCAGATTTGGATTTCATTTTTTTAATCGCCAATTAAAAATTTTTAAATCAAAATATCTTTTCAGACAATCCAGCCCTGACGAGAGTATAAAATCTAAAGAAATGTAAAAAAATTTGACAGATCAATATTTTAATTTTTGACAGGTTTCAAGTTTTGTCAGACAATGTATGAATTATTTATTTCTAAAACCTTCCAGTGTATTCGAACCAAGAAAATGTGGTATCCAAAAAAAGTGCCACAAAAAAAATGGAATTCCTGATTTCAAATAAGAGCAAAGAATCTTAAATGCGTCAACATACAACATAATTATCATATAAGTTATGATATTATATTCTAAAATCATAGTTTGAATGACTTTGATGCAAAAAATGATTATTCTATTTTGCATGAATCGTTTTAATTTGAAATGATTCTGCTCTTTAGAACATTATATAATGCATCGAGGGGTTTATATGACGGCTGGTAGAGGGGGGGGGGCGTCCAAGACGGGGAAGGGGGGTGGCAACATTTATTTCCTGTCATTATCAGAGAACTTATACAGTGGAGTGTTTAATCTAAACATATGTTTAATTCTGGGTTCAGTTTAGTTCAGTGGTTCAGGGAGAGAGGTTGGTTAGAACCAACCTATGCCATGATACACGAATATATTTAGTGATAAATAAAGTACATCAAGAGATACCTTTTCACCAAACATGGTAAATATATAAATACAATTCTATCTAGATTTTTTGGTTTTAGTTTAAAATCAAATCATACATTCTCTGAAAAAATGTAAAAATGCCTTTTTTTCAAATTTTTTTTTACAATTTTCATTTCTCCTGATTTGATTCTTAAACCATCATTTTTTGCGCAAAAACAACAACAACCGCTAGAAAAAAAACCAAAACATTTGATAAATCTAAAAATTTGAAAACCCTAAAATACTAAAAAGCTTTAAACCTTCGTGAAAAAAGTAAATACATAAGATAATTCTAATATATTTCTGATTCTCCAATACTCTTCAATCATTTGATATGTCTCAACGATAAATTAATGCCAATAGATATATTTAGTGTATTAAGTACAGTACAGTACAGTACAGTACAGTACAGTACAGGACAGTACTGTACAACTGAGTAGTACTTTGTACTACTAGGCGTTCATACCCTGAAGGGATAACTAGAATGAAGGGGATCAAGCATTGCTCTTTACAATATCATGATTAAGGATACTCCAAACAACAATTTCCAGCTCTGACAAAGCTTTTATAAATTGCTTTTATAATGCTAGAAAAAATAACAGAATAATAGGAATAACTAAAATTATATTATTAAATTTTCAAAATTAATTTTGGAAAGAATTATCTAGAGTGAAAACACATATTGTTACTTTACAGAGACAAAATACATTTTTTGCACAATTTTGAAACTCAAGAATTCAATTGTTAAGTATAAAATGATTAATGATAAATCGATAGAATTGCAAGTAAAATTTTATATAACACCTGCTGAGCAAAAACTCACTGAGAAAATTGGCGAAGAAACAGTTAGGATTAGAGAGATCGTCTTTGTTTCATAAATGTACATATGATTTATGATACATTTGATTCAAATCAAAGGTTCCTATTTTATATGTATAAACCCCATTCTATACTGCAGGGTTACCCATACAGGATGATACTTGAAACGACTGTACGGATTTGATTGATTGATAGATTTAATCGTTTTGCAGGCTTTTAATGAAAAATTATTCAGTTTACCATAAAAGACTTTAAAGACTACATTTTAACATAAGATCCTCGGAGTTAAATAGTTAATAGATCCTCATAAAAGTTTTATCCCTTGTGGGTATATATTTTCTGCATGCCTGTACAGTGTACAGTGTACAGTGTACAGTGTGTTGTATTATATTTAAGTAAAACATACATATTTAGGCATATTTAAAGGTTTTCGTCAAAAGTTCAGCAATTCAGGGGTTTTGTTAAAATAGCCGGATAAGCTATGCTTTATATCGTTACTTGAGTAAACCTTTTTTATCACCCTTTACAGAGTACAATACAGGTCGAATTCATACATCTGTTTTAATGATTAAGGGTAATTAGGTACAAATGGTTTTATTTAGGTTTACAATACCTTACAGGTTTAGACTTAAAATTAATATTATCTCATGTGTTAATTTAAATTGAATTACACTAAATTCAGAACTGTTAGATTCGTTAAGTTAAACAAATTAGAGACAAAAATTCAATCTAAAGGAATTGAGTGTTTGTCAACCTTGTCCCTATGTGTCTTGACAACAGCTGATATTTTAAACTTGGATAATTGAGTGAACAGAATTTTAAAATATATCTAAGGTCTACGACATTTAGTTGGAAAGAATAGGATTATAAAATCTGAGTTTTTGGCAGAGACTCAATTCCTTTGAGATAAGTTGTGTCGGGCTATCGATCAAACAATTTGGAATATATCAAAGCAAAAACAAATGGACATTTTTATGATACCCATATCAACATTATCCTTTACATTCTCTATTTTACTTAACCTTATATCTTTGCAACCTGATGTCAAAGACTTTACATATTTCAAACATACGAGTTCTGTTAGATCAACAAATCTACACAACTTTAAAGTATCAAAGAATAAAATGTTCAGGTTGCGAAATACAGAAACTAGAAAATAAAAGTTTTAAGCGGAAGTTAAATTTTTTTACAGAAAAATAATTTTTTCTTAATGTTGATTTTAAANGGAAAAAATTCCTGTTTGATTTAAATTTACATTCTACTCTCCTTTATTGCTTAATGGCTTCAGACTTCAGGGCTTCTTCCTTATTATTTTTCAGGGGATAAAATTGCATTATTTAAAATATTTAAATGTTTTGTGTACAACAGATAGATAGATATTGCATGGATTAATAGGTGGGGTATATGTTATATAATGTACATGGGAAAACTTCTACTTCCTGTATAATATACATGAAATATATAAAGATAATATGTGATACATTATAGTCATACTAAAGAAGGTTAGAATTACAAATAAGGACCTAAAAAAGAAAATTAATTTTCTTTGTTATCTTTCGCCCGCCGTCTAATTTTCTTTCTATTTCTTCTTCTCCCATCCTTTTTATCTCTTTCATCTGCACATGAAGTTACATTTTCTCTTTCTTTTACTCCGTCTTTTCCTTTCTATCTGATTCCACTTTCCTTTCCTTATCCTTTCTCCTTCTTTCTTCTTTCCCTCTCCCTCCTTAATACTTTTTCCTTCATAATTTTCTCACCTTTTTCTTCCCATTTCCTCCTCTTTTTATTTCCTTTTTTCCATTTACACCTTTGTTCCTTTTCCTCCTTTCTTTTCGTTTCCCTTCTCTACCCAACGAAATAGGAAAAAAAATGTTTAGTTTATGTGTGTCCTGCACTATATTAGTTTCGCGTAATTGTTTGTAATGTAAAGTTTGAACCATATGGTTTACTAATTCTGTATTATGTAAACCGTGTAAATTCACAGGGTGTCCACCGAAAAAAATACATCATTTTAGAAAACAATTTAATTTTTTCTCGTTCCCACACCTGTCTAGAAATCTCGAATTTATGAATGAATACTTCAAAGATTCAAAACAATGAATGGTTATTTCTAAAGTCACCCTGTATAAACCTCGAATTAAAAAACCATGAGTAAAACATAATATTTGGTTTCATAGTTTGCAGAAGATCCCAGTTTTACAGGGCTCCATATAATACATATATCAGAGGGGAATATTAGGGGTAACCAGGAAAATAATGTAGAGTTCAATAAAATTGAAGGACAAATAATGTTTCTCTCTCTCTGTAGGACAATTGATGTGTATAATACAATTGAATTGTAGGAAAAATGAAGTGTAGGAAAAATGAAGTGTAGGAAAAATGAAGTGATAAAAAATGAAGTGTAGGAAAAATGAAGTGCAGGAAAAATGCAGTGTAGAACAAATGATGTTTTCTCCTCTCTGTAGGACAAATGATGAGTATTACAAATTATATGTCGGAAAATGATGAATAGCACAAATTATGTGTTGGACAAATAATGTGTAGGACAAATGATGTGTAGGACAAATGATTGTAGGACAAATAATTGTAAAACAAATGACAACATAACAGAGGATATTACCACTAGGTGATATTTTTAGATTACGAGCTATCAATAGATAAACAGTTTTAGGAAAATGTAAATGTTGACAATCATATCTTACTGCTTTCCAATATTTGTTCTTTTGTTGTATATTCCTTGGAATTTTCTATTTTAAAATCCCAGACTTCTTTTCTGGAATTTGTATAAAAAGAAATATACCATTTTTAGACGGCAGGGTTCAAATTTATCATTAGAAATGTGTAATTAATGTACCCGCTTAACCCACTCACACGGCCTACAGGAAACTGATCTTAGTGGTTTCCTAGCTAAAATTGAATAATATCTTAAAACGAGTTAGGTTAGGTTATACTGGGTAGGTGGAGCTGGATTGTGGTAACATGGAGATATATAATGTTGAGTCAGTTTGAATCCATAAAAACGCGTGAGAAGGTTAAAATACACGATATTTTCTTAAAAACTACTCAATAACTAGTTGGGTTATCTTTTAGGTCATTTTCTTCTAGGCCAGTTTTCATAGCATCCTAATAACAATACTCAATACATCAAGTCTTGGTATAAAAATCAAAAATAAATGGAAAACGTCCGACGACTAAATTATTATTTTTCTTTTAAAAAGTTAAGAAAATATCCCAAACAAAAATCTTGATTTTCCTTCTTTTAAAAAAGGCAAATTAGTGTTGAGAGAATCCAACTACGAACTAATTATGTCGTTAACGAAGTAATTACTCTAATATTTCTTTATATAATGTGTTGTGTTGGGTATCACGTCAAATATTAACCTCAAACCTAGACTTCAAATCTAAACCTCAAACCTAAACCTCGCATATAAACCTCAAACCTAGACTTTAAATCTAAACCTCTAACCTAAACCTCGCATATAAACCTCAAACCTAGACTTCAAATCTAAACCTCTAACCTAAACCTCGCATATAAACCTCAAACCTAAACTTTAAATCTAAACCTCAAACCTAAACCTCGCATATAAACCTCAAACCTAAACCTCACATATAAACCTTAAACCTAAACCTCACATATATAAACCTCAAACCTAAACCTCACATATAAACCTCAAACTTAAACCTCAAATATGAACCTCAAACCTAGAGCTCAAATATGAATCTGAAACCTAAACTTCAGATCTAAACCTCAAATATAAACTTCAGATCTAAACCTAAACCTCAAACCAAATCTTAATATATAAACCTAAAACTCAAATATCAACCTCAAAACTAAACTTTAATTCGAATTTAAATCATAAAATCGAAACCTAAACCCTGAGCCTAAACCTAAACTTGATTCTTAATAAAAACTGAATCCTACCCCCCACCATCTCCCATCCCCCACACCCAACCTAAGCCTGAACATGAATCTAAACCTTAATTCTGACCCTGAACCTAAATCTAAACCTGAAGATGAATCTAAACCTTAATTCTGACCTGAAACATGAACCAGAACCTGTAATTTAAAGTTGAACTTGGAATCTATATATAAACTTTTGCCTTTATAAAATAGTTAAATTTGCTAAGATGGCAAATAAAAGAACCGAAAGAATTATTTCTTACTTTTTAGTAAAATATTCAAAAATTTAAAACCCA